TCACTAGTTCATAGCTTTTTTGTTTTCACAAGATGTAATTTTAATGTGGAGAGGGTATTAAAAAGTCTTTTGCACATCTCACCTTGGAAGATATTTATCATACTTCCAATTTAGGTGTTTAGGAGCTGCTTGAGAACTAGGAATGGTGCATCAAAACTATCACTGAAGGCCAATTTTATGGATCTGAAGAATTTAATAAAAAATGAGAGAAAAGGTTTTCTCCAGTAAACTTTTCGAGAAAAATAACCAAACCCAAACAAAGAGAAAACAAGCGAAAGGATCTTAGGCGGCACATCATGGTCAAATATTAGAGACAATTGTTGGATCATATATTTATATATGCCGAGACAATACAAGATCTATGGTGATTGGTCTTTTATATAATTGCAGACTAAGTGCTTGAGTCTTTTGCAAGCCAAAGCTTACTTTAGGTCTCGATAAGATGAATTTACCCTGCCTGTAACTTTGCTAGACTAATGGTAATTGTTTTTTATTTAAATTTTCGTCTCGCTCTCTGACATTTTTATATACCGAAGAGATTTATAATGCATTGTTGTCCCACATGTACAATTTATAAAATTTATGCACGGGAAAAATGGATATGACTTCATGTGTGCAATCTCGCCCGAAAAAAAATTAATAAATCAAGCCCAGATAGTCTTTCAATCAATGCCAGAGTGGGATTTGATTGCGTGGAATGGAATGCTTGCCGCATATGCCACAGCTAGGCATTTGGCTGCTACCAAATCCCATTTCAATTCCATGCCCGAGAGGAGCCTCGTCTCCTTACACAATGCTCTCGGCATTCTTGGTGGCAGGGGAAATGGAGGGAGAAGAGGCGATCAAAGTGGCAGAGCTCTTCTTCGCCCAAATGCCCAACCGCGACCTCGTCTCTTGCAATGCGATGCTGGACGCGTATGCCAAGAGAGGGCATCTGTGCCGCGTACGTATCCTCTTCGTCGCCATGCCGGAGCACGACGCCATCACGATCACTACCATGATCCACACGCTCGCTCGGGGATTTGGAATCGGCGCGGTTTCTCTTTGATTCTACCCCCGTCCGGGACGAGCTGTGTTGGAACGCGATGATCACCGTGTATGCCCAGCTCGGGCATGCCGTCGAAGCGAGAAAGCTATTTGATTCCATGCCCGCCAAGATCGATTCTTCCTGGAATTCGATGCTCTTGGCTTACATCCAAGATTCAGATCTGGCGAGCGCCGAGGATTTCTTCTTTCGTGCCATGGCCAAGTGGAATCTCATCGCCTGCACAGCGATGCTCGCAGCGTATGCCCAAAACGGGCATCTGTCCAAGGCCGAGGAGATCTTCCCGGCGATGGAGGAGGTGAGCTTGGTTTCCTGGACTGCTATGCTCGACGGATACGCGCGCAATGGATTCTTTCACTCCATGCCGGAGAGAAACTTCGTTGCGTGGAGTGTCATGGCTTCTACGTTTTCTCGCAAAGAATGCCATCGCCACCTTTCGAGAAAGACGAGCGAATTCTTAGTTTTGGCTGACGTCTCAGTGTGAACTCTCTCCTGGCCTGTTGCGCTCAATCCCAGAGCGCTAGCCTTTGCTCGTAAAGAGCGTTCCAGATCTTGAGCTCGATGAGTTGCGATGGTTTACGGCCAGATGAGAGCTCTTTCGTCTCGATCTTGCTGGCTTGCAGTCGATCCGGCCACGTTGATGCTGCTCGTCGATGCTTTAGCTGCCTAAGCTCGGATTTCTTCGTGGTGTCCAGTAAGAAACTCCATAGCTGCGTCATTGACACACTATGTCGGGCAGCAGACGCGAGCGAGTTTGTTTTCAGCATGCCTTTCAAGCCAGACTCGGTGGACCTGAGCTCGATTCATCAACTGTTGTAAGAGATCGAGTGGATCGATCTAAGAGTTTATCGAAGAGCTTTTAGTTACCGGTTGATCCATTCATTGGCATGGCCACCCGACTCGTCCACGGCTTTGCCAATGCGTGGCCTCTCTTCTGTTTTCTCGAGGCTGGAGCGAATCACCGTGGCTCCCCAGCACTGGAGAGCGTTGGCCACATCGTCCAAGTGTAGGAGATATTCTTCCTCACTCAGTGGAAACGATCTCTGGAAGAAAATATGTAATTGTTCAGGGTTTAAACTCAAATGTCGCAATGTTTCACCTTGAATGCTTCTAGAAGTTTCAGGGGAGAGGAGGAAGGTTAGACACTAGATCAAACTTCAAATTTAAATCAATGTTGTTTAGAATTGTGGCAAAATGAGACCTCTCTAATCTCAAGAGATTACATTCTTGTCATCATGTCCAGGATTTTATGAGAGTGATCAAAGAGTTTCAAATCACATTAATTTATATATTTTTTAATTTGTGAACATGTTTATAATTTATAAAATCTCCAAAAAAAACTTTCTATGATCCAGGACTAAAAGATAAAAAAGTCTAGCCTCCCTAGGCCTCATCTTGAGGTTCCTCACCCCCAAGCTTTTAAGGTAGGTTAAGTTACTTACCCTAGGTGAATTTTCCCAATGCCTTAATGTAACTGTTGAGCTTTCCTTTGACTTATGTTGACCATGTTGCTGAAGTTAACAATGCCTCACACATTGAAAAGGTGCCTTAAGAGCCTCCCTTCTAGTACAAAAAACTAACACTTTTATTATGAGTTGAGTTTGGACACAAAAAAAGCCTAGAAAGTTGGATAGGTGACCTCTGCTAGTGCCTGTGGCAAAGTCATCTATATAAATAGGAAGAGAGTGTAACATAAGGTCAACATCATCAACTGCTTAAAGGTTGATAGAGTTCCAAAAGGGAGAACTTGATAAGAAAAAATTCCCCATGACGTGTGAAAATAAGTCTTAAGCTGGTCCTCTTTTGCAATTTGAATTTGGTTATAACTTGAAAACCCATCCATAAAACTGTGTACTTCCTTTCCTGCCATCACATCAAGAATAGTATATACACAGAGTCAGGACCTTGCTTACTTCTAAGCTTCCATTAGCTTTAAGTACTAGCACTCCAATTAGCAACCTCCACCAGCTAAATATAGTTGAATTGAATCTCTTGCTTGATAAGAGGCTTAAGAACAAGATTGATCTGGTGAGCTGGTTGTTGAATCAGTATTGCATTAGTCTTGAGTAGAATATGGTGCATGATAACATCAGGATCTACACCTTTCAAGTCCTTATAACTCCACACAAACATGTCTAAAAACTCCTTGGATAAAGCCTCCACAGATTTGTGCTTCTCAGAAACGATCTTCTATGTGCCTCGTAGAAACAAAAATTGGGGACTAATATGGCACTGAATACACCATTGGTTGCCAAGCCTGCATACTTGATAATACCGGAGCCAGTGGTGGTGGCCACTGAGGTGAATTGTGATAACTAGGAGGCACAGCAGTCTGATGGGAAACCACATCCTTGACCTCATGGTCTATAGTAACTGTTCACATGATAAGCTAGAAAAAATTCCAGAGGCAAGCCATCCTGTTGGTAAATAGACGTTTTTGCAACTAGGTCTGAGACTGTCGAGGTAACCACCGAGTTTATAGGAATGTGTTCCTATCCAAGTCATGTTGATGCCAATCAAGCTAGCAGCTTCTCTCTCTTGACCTTTGTCTATGGTAGTGAGAACGTCCTGCATGCAAATTTCCAATGATGATGTTGATTTCTGATGCACTGAGAATATAAAGATAGAGGAAGATGATCCCATCTCGATCAAGTACTTTGGCTCTTGAGTTTCTGCCTCTAATGTCACAGCCTTCACTATAGTTGGTTTGTTGTAATGTACTTTCTGAGCCAGATCAGGATGCAACACATGAATGTAGGTTCATTTTCAGATATACATCTAGAAGCCCTTAGAGACTCTTGCGGTTGCTGACAGATAAAATCAAGCTTTGCCATCACATGATCTTTGCTCTCTAGCATCTCAAAACGAGTAAGGAAAAGCTTTGTGAGAGACTCAAAGTTAACCGCCTGTTGTTGTGTGAGCTGCCACAAGAGAGCCTCACCAGAAAGTGACAAGCAGAAGTATGCCACCTGTGAGTCCTCCATCGCTGCTAGAAATGATTTCACACTTTCCAAATGCAGCCTAGGTCTTCCTCCAATTCTCCTATGAATTTAGGGAGGTTTGCTACTATGGCATCAAGAGCATTTTATTGTCTCAGGGCTGCCATCGCTTTTGTCCTTCTTTTCCTTGCAAGCAGCAAAGAGTAGATTTCTTGAAATGTTTATCGGTTTTGGAGCAAGTTGACTCCAGTACAGAAAAGCACACCCTCCCCCTCAGCGTCCCAGGGCAGTTCATGAATTTCTGTATACATGCAAGCTCTAATCCATCTTTCAACCCTCAAATACCCTCTAAATTCCCAAATCTGCCTGCACCAATCTAATCCCCTGAGTCACAAAGATCCCTTAACTCAAGATCCATACCTCTCAATGTAATGGTTGTTTAATGTAGCAAAAAGCAAGCTAGGTAGTGATCACAAGAGGCCAAAGACATACACACCACTGAAAATGTCTCCCAAAAGGACACAAACTGTTACCCTAATCCCTCTCTTTCTCCCCTTTTATTTCCCTTTTCTTCTGTTCTCCCAAAAGGACACAAAGTGTTACTTTAGTCCCTCTATTTCTCCTATTTTGCACCGTACATCATCAAGATCTCTCCATATCACTCTTGAATTTGCTAAGCAAAATTTCAGTACCCTTAAAATGTAAATGTGGTCACAACCATTAAAAATATTTTAAACAGGTGGCTGCATTGTGACTGTCGATTTCAAGCACCACCACTCATATTATTCAAAGTTTTTGCAACAAAATATTCTCCTTTGACTGAAAAACTTAAAACTTACATATTGAAAATGCCAAAAAGAACCCCTACAATGCACATACATCTTTGGGTTAAGAGTGTCCAATTAGGAAAGGGGAAAAATGTTTTGCTTGAATTCATTTCCTGCAATGACTAAAAATATCTATTTATCTATCTATCTCCATCTCTTATAAACACAACACCTTAAAGAGATCTTAATTTCAGAATTATATACCTGATCATATGCCATGAAGTGCCATAGTGAAAACCTATATTTTCTGAGTGCTCAAGACGATGCACTGACTTTGAAACAAGACCAATCAAGTCTGACAAGGTTCTTTAGTTATTTCACTAACCTGGATAATTTGCATCAGAAATTTTCAAGACTGGATTTGACTATGTGCAAGCTTGTCGTGTTTGTGGGTGATCATGTACTGTGCTGATATAGATTTTGCTGTAACTTTGCAAAGCCATGATATTTGCGCAACCGTGCCAAGACCGCAAGTACAAATAAAACATATCTCAACATTCTGGCTTAAAACGAGGAAGCCATCCTTTGTGAATTTTGCCACTTCTTCACCAGAGTATTGTCACTCTCCAGAAGAGAAGGCTGCTCCCAACGACACACACAGTCGAGAAGGTATTTTTGTAACGAATTCTCATCACAGTAGACAAGAGCCACAAAGACGTCGTCGAGACATGAATGAGCAATCAGAGAAGATCCAAAACGCTGTGCTAAAGACAATAGAGGAAGGGAAGTACCTGACGGGCGATCTGGGAGGCAACGCTGGCACAACCGAGTACACGAATGCTGTTTGCGAGAAGCTATAGGAAGAGTGACGACGAAAGGGAAAACAAATCAAGGAAGCGAACGAAGGAACGAACCTGTGCGCGTTGCTCATTACGACGTTAGGCTCTCCGGTGGCTTCGTTTTCATCCTCTCGCCCAAGACAAGTTTTACAGTAAGATCGATTTCCAGGCTCGCGATGTCTCTATTGACAGAAGACCGTTTCTCTCTCTTTTTTTCTTCTTCTGATGACTCGAATGAATAAAACTGGTGAAGCAAAGTTTGCAGACAAATAAATTTTTACGAAAGAACTTCGAGAAGAAAATAGGAAATTCTTTGAGCTTAAGAAGATCGAAGGTAGAAAGAAATTTCTGCCCTGGATCGGAAAATCCGGTTGTTAGAAACAAAGATTTTACCTTTGGTGCATGCAATCCTCCGTGTGAGCCACAGGCTGCCAGCTGCTACGCCCATGCCAGCCCCAAATCCAAATAAAAAACCAATGGATCTCCTCTTCTTTCCCACACAGCTCCAATTCTCCATCTCCAGTCCATCAATCACAAGCTCTTCGATCGCCATGGCCTCCAACTACAGCGATCTCGCCAAGTCCAGATCCAATGATTCCGGCATCACGCTCCAGCATCTCAAGCAGCGATCGCCCTCGGCACGCCGCGTTCTTGGCATCCTGGCGATCCTGGCGGTGGGAGCGATGGCGCTGGGGGGTGGCGCCGTGGCACTCTTGCTCATCTCGCCGATACTCCTCTTTTTTAGTCCTATCCTGGTGCCGCTGGCGGTCCTGGCGGCGATGGCGACGGGGGCGGCAGTGGCATTCATCGCTTTCGTGGCGGCCAGTACCTGGATCTATAGGTATGCCAGAGGCGGGCGGCCGGTTGGATCAAAGAGCCTGGATGCAGTGAAGACCCGCTGATGGAAAAGGCTTAGTGACAAGTACTCGTTCCCTTTAGCTCCCGCCCAATGTTTTAAAATAAAAGTTATAAATTATTTCTGGTTTGCTTAGGCACTAGGATAGTAGTGAATATACTTAGGATATATTTAAATGTTCTAGAATATTTTACCATCTAACGGTTATTATTTATTTAGATTAATTTTTATTTATAATTTATAAACATGTTTTTAATTTAGAATTTTTTTTAGTATATTCTTCTTTATATCATTAGTTTATATGCAATAAGATTAATCTTGTGTTTATAAATTATAAACATGCTTATAAATATAAACTTTATTTGATCAATTAATAATACTACTATTAAGTATTAAGTGTTGTTACATGAAATGTGTAGTAACTTATTATTATTTGTTAATGGTAAAATTGAGATTTCATTAAAAAAATGTTTTGGCTAATGGATTTGAAAAATAAATATGATATCAGGCATGGGTAATTGAGAAGAAAATTTTATAATTTTTTTTTCTAAAAGTGAGTTTTGTATAGTAATGAATATATGATTGTATACACATAATTATTTTTTTGATTACTATATAAAAAATTGAAATATGATTATGTATATACTCAAAAAATATGACATCACCACAAATTTAGCAAAGGTTTTACACAAGTATGCAACATAGGTTTTACACAAGCAAAATTCATAAGCAATCTGTGGAAAAATGGGATGAGAAGCACCACACCAAAATTAAGGTATTAAATAAGAGTTTTCTGTCTTGTCACAACATCACACATTACAATAGTGCTTAGTTAATGTTTTCTTGGTTATGGCTGCTAACTTCTGTTCTTTTAACAGACATACAAATGTTAATTTCTATATAAATTAGCCATAAGTATATATGTAACTTTGTTCCTTTTATCAATCTTCACTAAAGTGTTGTATGCAATTTTCCCAACCTACACATCTTTCTATTTCTTACACATGCTCAAAATGGTAGTTTAGGTTATACAAGTTGGCTCTAGAGACATAGATTTTAACACTATCATTGCATTATCCAAATGATTTTACTCATCCTAAAAGATCAATCACTCCATAATAGTACTCACATCCAAGATAAATTTTATATTTTATCTCCATTGCATACAAATACTCATTTCCTTGTTTCACAAGCCCAATGATTGAGAGAAATATAAAGCTATCAGAATGAAGACCAAGATCTTACATGCTGTGAAAGCTTTTAAACATGGAGGTAGTGTCTTCTTAGCCATTGTATCCACTGTCCAGGCCACAAGATCTTTCAATGGCATCAAGTCAATAATCTATTGAGTTAAGACCACGCTTCCAACTTTGTAGTAAAAGTCCACTATGACTTGGATTCTCTCTAGTTCAGAGCAACAAATCTCTACGTAAGCTCTTCATCCCTATTGCTAGGCCCCAATACTGCTGCAAACTTTGAGTCCCCACTGTTGCTTTTGTTGCTTTGAGTTGCCTAACAGTGCAAAGCTATGCCTCACTCCAGTGCCACTAGTTTCACAAAACCTATATCTATCTCCTTGCTTTCTTCTTTAGTAGCAAAACTCAAGCATACATTGAGAGTAGTCATATAACTTTGTGAATTTAGTATATAACCTTTGGATTGCATGGCTTGAAGTAGTTCTAATGTTATATCATATTACTCATCCTCAAGTGGATTTCTCGCATAACCCCAAGAACATAGAGATGGTGAGTTTAGCCCGTGGTATCCAAAATACTCTCAAAGATCTAACTTGCCCCACTAGAAAATATCATGAATCTTGCTGATATATAAAAAAAAATTGATATAAAGTTGGAATTTACATAGCAGAAAAAATTGCATATGTCTGGACTTTTATATGGTAAGCACTAAAGCATGCCCATGCATAAAAAAATTGTTATGTTCAAAATATTATTTTGTAAGTCATAAATATATATTACAACAATTTAAGCACATATATGCCTTTTTTCATATATTTTGGAGGCTACCATAAGTTTTTGCATGGCTGCTTACCCCAGGTATACCTCCCCTCAGGAGGTGTACTTCCCCTCAAAGTATTTCTTTAGATGCTTGAGGCATCAAGCGCAATAGTTTTTTTGTGAGTAAATAGATCTTGTTATAGTTGTGATAGTTTCATAAATTTCTTGTGTTTTAATCATCTGAAAAGTGTTTTTCATTACTTTCACCAAGGAAATAGCCCCAAGCACACAATGATGATGAGTTTAGCTTGTGGTATCTAGAAGACACTCAAAATCCAACTAGTGTGTTCTATTTCCTTGTATGAATTAAAATACATTTTAAAATAATATTAATATTTATATAAATTAATATATATATATACAAAAGAGGTAATAAAAGAAATAATAAACTAAATAAATCTATAAATATGTTCCTAGTTTGGATTAAGCTTTTCACCATAATTTTAGCTATGGAGAATGTGGAATTATTGGGCATAAAGAGTGAATGATAACTCTCAATTACAAAATTACAATCAAACAGTATGTAAGGTATGAACTAGTTTTAGGTATATCTTTTATTACTAAGTAACATGTCTTTCCACAAATCTTTCTATGCAAGTTTATATATGCTACATAAATTAATGGCTAATGGGCTTCTCCCAAACATCAAGTTGCTTGTTGAGGAGATTGGAATCTCTTGGATTTTTTAGTTAGGTTGCTTGCTAAGGAGATTGAAATTGATTAGTTTCTTTAGTTAGTGCCTCTTGTTCATAATGTAAAATCAGGCATAACTTCTGTACTTCACTGAAATAATATATTAAACAAATACCTTTTATTACCAAAACATACATTTATAAGTTATAGTGACTTTAATCTTTCTCAGGCACTCTAGACCAATAAGCCACTACTTTGATTGGTGTGGAGGGTAGGGAGGTTTGCCTCTGAGCAGCAAATTGAAACAGGGGGACCTTAATGTTTGGGTTTAGCTTTATAGGTTAATGATCTTGGGAAAAAAACCAATTGCCCCTCTATAATTAATATATATACATATCCTATCCTATGGTTCATTGCCATAAAGGACCAAGAACAAAAGGATATAAAACATGTAATAATAATATAAAACCATATTTGACTCTAATATCTAATATAATGTGAACTTCTTACTTGTTTATCTTATATTTGTTTATAAATATATAAAATGTAATGTCCAATAAACTAATCCTCCAAAAATTATGTATGTATAGAGGCTAAAACACTTCGTATAAAGAGATCAAGAACAATTAGCACCACTTACAGATCTACTAATATCTCCTCCTAATGTTCCTCCAGATCTTGGCCCATCCACTAGAGAATCTTGACTATCTTTTATCATTCCGAGAAGAGGGGATGATATGAGGTCCAAGTGTACAAGTATGATGCCATATACTAATATTAGTGTAGTGAGATTGTTTTCAATTCAAACCACTCACTCATATATATTAGCTAGGGTTTTTGAGCTAATTAATATGTATATTTCTATATTCCATTTCCATATTCTATGCATTCATGCCAAACCTTATAAACTTGCGATCCAACTTGCCACAACACATGATATGGTCCCTTCCACTGAGTAAAAAGCTCTTTAGACAAACCATGTACTGTAAGATTAGGAAAATAGATTAATACTAAATCACTTATTTTGTACTCCATATGTGGATGACGATGGGAGTTATAGCGTTGTTGTTGTCCCACTTGTATATGGCTCAAGTGTTTAGTAGATTGTGCTTAGATTAGTGGAAGAATGCTTGTCAAATATTAATCCCAAGATTTAACATCGACAACTCATGGCAATTACGAAGATAAACTCAATTCTATTAGTAGTATCAGATCATTGTAAGGAACCAACTCGCCGAGGTGTCGTAGGTTAAAGGAACCCCGAAAGCATGACCAAAATGACAAAGAGTTCATCGAATGGGACCAAGTCGAAGATCGAGTCCAAGACCGACTCTAGGACCGAGTTCGAGATAGAGTCCGGAATCGAGTCCGAGACCGAATCGGGGACCGAGTTCGAGTTCGAGTTCGAGACCGAGTTCGAGACGGAGTCCGAGATCCGAAATCGGGTCCGAGACCGAGTCCGAGGTCAAGTCCGAGGTCAGGTCCGAGATCGGGTCCGAGGTCGGGTCCGAGATCGGGTCCGAGATCGAGTCCGAGATCGAGTCCGAGACTGAATCCGAAGTCGGATCCGAAATCGGGTCCGAGATCGAGCTAGAGACTAAGTCCAAATACTAATACGGGTCAAGGGGTGAAAGCCCAAAGCGTGCGTCTCCCGGGGGGGGGGGGGGGGGGGGGCTGTAGGCGGTTCCAAAAGTATAGTAGGGATAGTGAGGTCCAGGAACCAGTTTTGAAGGGACTCTCCAGATGGGATTCCAAACTGACTTGAGGTTGAGACTGGGACCGAGGGGCCTTGGGTGGGAGTGAGCATGGACTTGGTTGGTGCCAGAGGGGCCATCGAAGGAAGTGCTCAAGAGCAGCTCCCACTCCTGAAAGGGAAACCGATTGCGGTGCTCCCAGCTCATGTGGAGTGGTGCCCCACTTGAGTACCATGCGGCTCATTGGTCCTCGCCCTTCCTAGGGGCTTGGGCCTTCCTTCGGGATGGAAGTGGGGGGGTAGAGGTACCCATACCGGGCCGCTAGGCCACGGTGTTTCGCCCCGGCGTCCCGAAGCAAGTGTTGCACTCAAGACTTGGGATTTAGAGGGTCTTATGATCAAGTCTTGTGGTACCAAGGAATGTTAGGAACCTGGAAGCTTGGTGTGCTTGGCTGCTTGTGCTTGCGGGGAGTGTAGCCGAACCTTAAGTCCAGTCTAACCCGGAGAGGGGGATTGGGAGTGATTTGGGAATCCGTGGATGGATGGCTAACACTCCGTTGCTCATGCAGTGAGTAGCTGAAACCAAGTAGGTGCTGGTACCATAGGCGAGAACCTTGGCAAGGGAACTTAGCAAAAGCCAAGACAGTGTTGGACGGATAATCGAGGTAAGTTGGCAAATTGGAAAGGAAAAATTTGTGGCTTACAATTTGGTATCGGAGCCTTTTCCTCAGTTCTAGTGAAGGATAGAGGCGGATTGCTGGGAGATGGCAAGGGCAGGGCATAAGCGAACCCAGGCGGAGACGGAACCTCCACCAGAGCTGGAGCCTCCGGTTGAACAAGAGGCTATGGATGAGGAATCCTTGCATGAGGAGGACTCCAGTGAGGAAACTTCCAAACAGGAGTCCTGTGGCGAGGTTCGGTCGTCCAAGGCTCGATTGGACGTGCTAGAAGGACAGTTGGCACAGACCAATGCCCTGCTGGAGACTCTCGTACGCAAGTTAAAGCGTGACGAGAAGCGGAAGAAAAAGCGAAAGACTGCGGATGCTGGCAGCGCAGAAGGTGCGGACCCTTTGGCAGGGATTGAGGCAAAACCAGACAAGGTCGAACAGACCGAAGTGGAATCAGTCCCTCAGGCAGTTCCCAAGTATAAACCAAAGCCCCCACCGGTGTTCAAGGGAGTGAACGACTATAAGGTTGTGGAGGATTGGTTTTACGATATGGAGGACTACTTCCGAGTGTGGCGGTTACCGAGCTCGGAGAAGGTCCCATGTGCAAAACCATACTTGGCAGATAATGCCAAGTCTTGGTGGAGAACAACGGAGGCCAACGAAGGACCGGTGGCCACCTGGGACATGATGAAGGCGAGGATCCGCGCAACATACGTTCCTCTGAATGCCACTCTACATCTGAGAGATGAGCTGAGTAGGCTGAAGCAGACTGGAACCATCCAGGAATATGTGATTGGGTTCATGGCAAAGAGGATACTTGTCACGGACATGGGGGATATGATGCGTTCCATGCCTTTATATCAGGTTTGCAAACCTGGGCTCGCGGTGAGGTGATGCGCTGGAACCCGACCAACTACAAGGAAGCGTTGGATGTGGCCATCAAGGTGCATTTCAACGATAACCTGCGAAAGGGGAACACGACGGGGTTAGGATTCACATTTAGCAAAGGGGCCAAACCAAGGGGAACATATAGCAGGGGGAAATTCAAGAAGAGTTTCTCTAAGAATGAGTCCTCGGGGTTCCGGAAAGGCAAATCCGGTGGCCAGCGAACGAGTACGTGGGGGAGTCAAGCGAAAAGAGACAAACCCACGGATAAGAAAGTCAAGTCATATAGCAGCGTGGGAAACAACGTATGCTACAACTGCGGTGAAGCGGGACACTTTTCGAGGGAATGTCCCTACCCGAAGAAGGCCAGAGCCAATATGGCCATCAAGTCGGGTGAAGTCCAAACTGAGGTATGTGATCCAGTCCCTAACTCAAAGTTACTCATTACACGAGCAACTTTGGTAGAGAGTCGTTCGCGACATCTACTAGCCCTCCGAGGGAAGCTCGGAGGTAGCTTTGTTAAGATCCTTATTGACATGGGTGCTTCGGATAATTTTGTGGCTGCAGACATAGTCCGGCAAGTCGGACTAACGGTGCAGCGGCTAGGCAAACCAAGGACTATAGAGTTTGTTCAAGGTAGCCAAAGCACCGATGAGGTACTTCGACAAGCGAGAGTCGAAGTAGGGACTTGGAAAGTAGACATGGACTTCACCGTGTTGGACATGGCGGGATTTGACGTGATCTTCGGAATGGATTGGTTCAATCGGTTCGTGGTAGCCCTACATGGACAAAGTAGGAACCTTGTGGTACTGGCGAATGCCCAAGGAAGAAGATCTAGGGTGGAGGCCCAGGATCTAAAGGTAGGGCAAAGCAAGGCCAAAGAATCCTGTTTAAACCTGGTGTCCACGAGAGGACAACTCACTAAAGGAACTAAGGCAGCCTTTTTGTGCTTACTCTCAGTGAAGAGTGACAAAAAGACAGGAACGAAAGAAGTACCTTTAGTGATCTAGCGGGTGTTGGAACAATTCCAGGATACCATGCCGGAGGAGCTACCGGCGGGGTTGCCCCCCGCACGACCGATAGAACATAAGATTGAGCTGGTCGAGGGCGCTGAGGCGGTGGTTCGTCCACCCTATCGTTTGAACGAAAAAGAACTCGTGGAGCTCAAGCGCCAACTAGAGGAGTTGGTGGACAAGAGGTATGTTAGGTTGAGCAAATCGCCGTATGGGGCGCCAGTGCTATTTATGAAAAAGAAAGATGGGTCTATGTGCATGTGCATAGACTACCGGTTGCTCAACAAGTATACAAAGAAGAACAAGTACCCTTTGCCAAGGATTGAGGACCTGTTCGATAGGTTGGGAAAGGCCAAATACTTCTCGAGAATTGACCTAAGGTCAGGATACTACCAGATCAGGGTAGCGGAGGAAGATGTCGAGAAGACAACCTGTCGAACGAGGTATGGGAGCTTTGAGTTTCTGGTGATGCCCTTCGGACTATACAATGCGCGGGCAACGTTTTCGGCGTTGATGAACCATATCTTTGTACCTTATCTGGATCACTTTGTGGTCGTCTATATTGACGACATCCTGATCTATAGCAAAACGTGCCAAACACTTGACGAAGGTGTTTGAGAAACTAAGGGAACACCAGCTGTATGCTAAAGAGAGCAAATGTGACTTTGCTCAACAAGAGGTAAAGTTTCTCGGGCATGTGGTGGGCAAGGATGGGCTCAAGGTGGACCCTGAGAAGGTCCAAGCGATCCAGGATTGGGAGCGACCATCGAATGTACACGAGTTAAGGGCATTCTTGGGGCTATGCAACTACTATCGAAAGTTTATCAGACACTATTCGAGAGTAGCCCTGCCCTTAACAGACCAAACGGGAAAAGGGAAAATAGTATGGACAGCAGAATGTGAGGCGGCATTCGTCCACCTCAAAGGGAAGTTGAGGAAGGCCCCCGTGTTGGCATTACCAGACTTTGGTAAAGACTTTGAGGTAGAAACAGATGCTTCAGACTTTGCGTTGGGCGCAGTTTTGAAGCAGGACAACCATCCAGTAGCATTCTTCTCGAAGAAGTTGGATAAGGCTCAACGGAAGTGGCCTGCCCATGAGAAGGAATTGTTTGCGGTGGTCAAGGCGCTCAAGGAGTGGCGACACTACCTTGGGAGACACTTCAAAGTTTACACGGACAATGTGGCAACGAAACACTTCTTGTCACAGCCCGACCTAAGGGGAAAACAAGGTCGGTGGGCCAATGCTTTGGCCGAGTTTGATTGCGAGATCCTGTACAAGCCTTGGAAGAGCAACATCGTGGCAGATGCGCTAAGTCGAAAAGCGAGCTTGAAGTTGGCGATATCTAGCGCGACAGCAACCTTTTGGGATGATGTGTGGACCGCATACGAGAGCGATGGTCTAGCACAAGAAGTGTTGCTGAGGAATCTAGAGGCGCGGGAAGCTCACCAGAGAGGTGAGCTGCCAACGGAAGAGAAAACGGGCTATGCGGAACGCAACGGACTCATATATTACAAGCAAACGAGGGTGTATGTTTCAGAAGGGGAACTAAGGAAGGTAGCCTTGGAAGAGTGTCATGACGGACCTCTCACGAGACATGGCGAAGTGCCCAAGACGATGGGCTTACTCAAAAGGAAGTATCACTGGCCAGATATGGCTAAGGACGTCCAAGACTATGTAAAGACATGTCCAACATGTCAGCAAGTCAAAGCCATGACGAAGGCTAGTGGGGGCTTGTTGCAAAGCATTCCCATTCCAGATCGTCCGTGGAAATGTCTCACGATAGACTTCATCACGGGACTACCCCCAAGCGAGGGGTTCGATGCGATATTCGTGGTGGTTGTCGCGAATGTGACTTCGGGTATCGAAAGATACTTGTCGGCCAGTCCTTACGGGCACTCTTTCCTTACTGCCACGACGGCAGGAGGTCAGTACTGCTGGTCCCTTTTATGGTCTCCACTCAAGCTAGTTGAGAAACTGGTCATCGCATGTGCACTTGACCAGATGAGCATAAGGACGGAATTCCTACATGCTATTAGTCAAGCATACTTGACCTGGTTAGAGAAACTCATTCGTTGACTTGCACTTGCTAGTGTTGGGAACCCCCGCAATATTGAGACTAGTCCTTCAATATTCGCTAGATGATAGCTTACCGTGTCTGCCAAACACCCTCGCTATCATACCCTTTGTGTTGGTCTCATTTCGGTCCCAAATGCTATTTATGGAAAGTGTCTAGATTAGCTCATTTGGCATATCTACAGAATGTAGAGATCGGCCTGAACACAATGGTGTTTGTTCCGTGTCCAAATTCGCAATCTAAGGACATTCCATATTTAGTAAGTTTCGGACTTGTCCCAAAGACTAACTCCTGGTACTAAGGGAGGCTTGGGGTGAAAGCCCAAAGCGTATGTCCCTCAAGGGGGGGGGGGGGGGGGCTTTGGGGGGTTCCAAATGTATAATAGGGATAGTGGTTGGAATGCATGTCCCACCCCCTGAAACATTAGTTTGGCTCCCGCTGGGCTGTGTCCCTCCTTGTTCTGCGTCCGGCTTGGGTCTAAGCCCAAGCTCCACGCTGCTCTAGTCGGGGGAGTACCCTCCTTCTCGCGTTAGGCCACCGGTATGCCAAAATTGTGCCAGACTCCGTCTGACACCATTTTGCATGCAAGTGCTAGATACGGGGAGCTGGTGCTCGTGGGATTGTACCGGACCCTCGTTTCGTAGCGCAACCGGCTTGGAGTTCGGCTCTAAATTCAGGTGCGCTACATTTGGTATCAGAGGAATTGTCTTAGTGATTTCTATCCAACTTTTGTCAGATTTTCTGACTCAAGTTGCATACGCAGAGACTTTTCTAGTAGATCCGAAGCGACCTGTGTAGGATTAGTTGGATAGCACCATTCGGTAAGAACGTTGTATGCATGTTCAGTTACTGATAGAGGCATGCATGCAGCTAGCAGGATGGTGAAGAGGAACCGTGCTGATGACGCTGAAACCTCTAGACGGGCGAATCGAGAGGAGGAAACTCCTGCTAGAGATGCTGCAGAAGAGGCAGAGGCTGAGTCAAAAGAGGAAGAGCCGAATGCTGCGGTGCTGCAGCGTATGGCTCAGGAAGTCGAGATCGAGAATTTGCGAAAGGAGATTCGCAAATTGAAGAAGGAGAACAAAAAGAGGAAGAAAGAAGCTGAGGCAGCTAAACCAGCTAAGCCTAAGCAACCAGACTCCTCTTCAAGTTCTGAGGACGATGAAGTTTTGCAGCCGCCCCCGGTTGCACGAGTTTCAAAGTTCAAGCCCCCAAAACCACCCAACTTCAGAGGCATGCGGGACTATCAGGTTTTGGAAGACTGGGTCTATGATATGGAGAACTACTTCATAGCGGCAGACGTAGATGATCGTACGAAAGTTGCATGCGCGCAATCCTTTCTCACCGATCATGCCAAAACTTGGTGGCGCCAAGTGTGTGCTGAAAAGGGGTAGACTAGAAGTTGGACCAAGATGCGGTCTCGTATCCGTAAGGAATACTTGCCGGATGATCTTGGTCTGAGACTTTGTGCGGAGCTGCGGCGGTTAAAGCAGCGAGGGGATCTCATGCATTATGTTAATGCGTTTGCTCAGAAGCGCATTATGATTGCAAATATGAGTGACGAAGATGCTCGGAGTTATTTTCTGGAGGGTTTAAGTTCATTTTCTCGCAATGAGATTTTGAAGTTTAAGCCGAAGACGTACCTGAAGTGTAAGGAGGCAGCGCAGCAAGTTGCCTTTAGTCACTCACTCATGGAACAATATCAGCAACCGTATGCTAGTAACTCAGACAAGAATAAGAATTCTGGGAATAAACAAAGTGATCGGAAACAGAGGGTGGAAAGTAGGTTCCGCCCTGGAGGCTCACAAGCAACAGTTAATAAAGGTGGTGGTGGTTGGACACCACCAGCAGCTTCTTCTGGTCCTAGGCCCTCTGCTCCTCCTCCTAGTGGGTATAAGCAGTAGCAACCTGCAAAACCTGCCCCTAGCGGAACGGGTAGTGTGGGTCATTGCTTCCATTGTGGAGAGTCAGGACATAGGTCCTCAGAATGTCCCAACAAGCATAAGACAAAGTCTCGGGTTAATGTCATGAGGGAAGACGGTGGTGATGGAGCTGAAGGGGTTGACGAGTTAGTCAATGCAGACTATGAGGAAGAAGAGGTGAGTAACTTTTGTTGCTTTCCTCAAGCTTTTCTTGCAGTCAATGCAAACACTGATCTGTTGATGTATCTGGTAGGCTTTGTCCGTGGACACCGAATCCGAGTGATGATTGACACGGGAGCTACGCACAGCGTGATATCCGAAGACTTAGTTAAGTTGTTAGGATTGAATGCTGAGCAAATGTCGCCTATGCACTTCTGGTTTGCGGAAGGTGGGCAAGTAGCCAGAAAGTTTGTGAGTGATGTTCCAATAAAGATATCCAAGTGGAAAGAAAGAGTGGACTTGGTAGTGTTGAAGATACCAGATTTTCAGATGGTGTTTGGTATGGACTTCTTCAACAATTATATAAAAGGGATTTATGGTGCTGGACAAAGTTGTATCACATTGAAGTCAGAAGGACGTCCTGATGTATCCTTTCAGTTGCAAAAGTGTTCCTCAAAGGATTGGGATGCAAAGTTCCTGACTGCGAGGGCCGCTCAAAAAGCAGCTAAGAGGGGATGTCAGACCTTTTGGGTTCAAGTGATGGAAGCTGAGGGTGTTAATGACTCAGTTCGAATCGGCGACAGGGTTGATCCTGTACCAAAGAGGATATTGGAGTTGTTGGCGAGGAACCAGGATATCTTTCCGAAGGATTTGCCGCCAGGGCTACCCCCTAGCCGTGAGGTTGATCATCGGATTGAGGTTATTCCGGGTTTTAAACCACCCACGAAAGCTCCGTATCGGTTGAACATCAAGGAGATGGCTGAACTCAAGAAGCAACTCACGGAGCTTCTTGACAAAGGTCATATCCGACCAAGCAAGTCACCTTATAGAGCACCAGTTCTTTTTGTTATGAAAAAGGATGGAACCATGAGGATGTGTATTGACTATCGGGCACTCAATAAGATCACGGTCAAGAACAGTTATCCTTTGCCTCGCATTGATGACTTGTTTGACCAACTCTTAAAGGCTAAGTATTTTACGCGACTTGATTTGCGGTCCGGGTATCATCAAATACGGGTGGCAGATCAGGATGTGGAGAAGACAGCCTTTAAGACTCGGTACGGATCTTATGAGTTCCTTGTCATGCCATTCGGGTTATGCAATGCTCCGGCAACGTTCAGCACTATGATGGATAGAATATTTGGAGATTATTTGGATGCATTTGTCGTCCTATATATTGACGATGTTCTAGTCTTTAGTGAAACATTGAAGGATCATTTGAAACACTTGGAGCTGGTGTTTCAGAAGTTGCGCGAACACAAACTGTATGCTAAGGAAAGTAAATGCGCTTTTGGTCAATTGCGCGTATACTTTCTCAGACATATAGTTGGTGGTGGCGTGATTGAAGTCGATCCAAAAAAGGTGGAAGCGGTGAAGTCCTGGGAAGTTCCAACCACTGTATTAGATGTTCGTTCCTTTCTCGGTTTGGCGGGATACTATCGCAAGTTTGTCCGCAATTTTGCAAGAATTGCTCTTCCGTTGACTGAGTTGACGAAGAGTAGTATTCCGTTTCATTGGACACCAGCTTGTCAGCGTGCTTTTGTATGGTTGAAGGAGATCTTGACTACAGTTCCTATTCTTAGGATCCCAGATCTTGATAAACCCTTCGAAGTGCATTGTGATGCGTCTGGCTATGCTATTGGTGCTGTGTTGCAGCAAGATTGTGACAAAGCGGTTGGTGTTACGCTAAGGCGACATGGTTGTCCCGTTGTGTTCTATTCCAAGAAATTAGATGAGACCCAACGAAGATGGCCAACGCATGAGAAAGAGATGTTTGCTATAGTGTCGGCCTTGGAACACTGGAGACACTACTTGGGTGGACATACCAAGGTTTATACAGATAGTAACACACTAAGCTACTTTGCTACGCAGCCTAAGCTTACACCGAAGCAGGCTCGTTGGCAAGAGAAGCTTGCTAGATATGATATTGAAATCATATATAAACCTAGTAAAGACAATATTGTTCCGGATGCATTGAGTCGTCAAGCTCAATTCCGGGCAATATCAGCAATCAGTTCGGACTGGTTGGAAGACGTTCGGGCTTCATATGGAAGTGATCTATTGGCGAAGATAATCTTACGCCGTGCGGAGTTGTCGAAGCAAAGCCCTGGTAGCGAAGCAGCGAAAGTTGCTAGCCGCACTAATGCAAAGCTTCACTTCTCAGTTCGGGATGGGCTTATATTCTATAAGCAAGAAAGATTGTATCTTCCCTCTAAGGATCTTCAGCAGTTATTTCTGCGGGACATGGTGGACAGCAGCAGGACATGGTGGACAGCAAAAGACTCTAGCTTCATTGAAAAAGGGATTTTTCTGGTCTGGTATGGTGATGTAGCGGCTTATGTCCATTCCTGCCCGATATGTCAGCAATGTAAGCACAGAATTGAGAAGCAGGCTGGAAAGTTGCAATGCATTCCAGTACCGGCATGGCCATTTCAAAGTGTGACACTTGATTTTGTCACTTGTTTGCCGAAGTCTAAGGGTTATGATACTTTGATGGTGGTTGTGGATCGGCTGTCAAAGATTGCACACTTCATTCCAACTGTGAGAACAGTAAATGTGAAACAAGCAGCAAAGCTCTTTTTCCATGAAGTAGTGCGAGTTCGTGGTCTTCCTGAAGAAATGATCTCAGATAGAGATTCGAGGTTTACGGGGAAGTTTTGGGGAACCCTATTCCAGTTGTTTGGTACCAAGTTGAAGTTTAGTACAGCTTATCATCCTCAAACTGATGGGCAAACCGAACGCGTGAATGCTCAAGTTGAGGATTATCTGCGGTACTATGTCGCGGCGGACCAACGTGACTGGGTTGAGCATTTGGATACAGCAGAAATCTGTTATAACAACACATTTCACAGCGCTATAGGCTGTTCTCCATGGGAGATGCTGCAAGGGAATGCTTGTGGGGTTCCTCAACAGATTGTTGTACCGAAACCAATGACTGAAGTGTTGGTCCCAGCCGTTGAAACTTATGCGGAGCAGCTACACCAAGGTTGGTCTAAAGCTACCGAGGCGATGGGCAAAGCTCAGGATAGGTATCGACGTGATAAAGATCAGTATCGTTGGAATGTATCCTATCAAGTGGGAGATCAGGTGTGGCTATCTTCCCGAAACTTGAACATTAAGGGTTCTTTGTCTCGGAAGCTCTTGCCAAGATATGTTGGACCCTATCGGGTGCTAAAACGCATTGGTGATGTATCCTATCGGTTGGATCTGCCTGTGGAGAATTCCAATGTTCATAATGTATTTCATGCCAATCTATTGGCTCCTTACACTATGGATGCTGCACGTCAAGGGGAGATTCGTCTGCCACCAGATGTTGTGGACGGTTAACCTGAATACGAAGTTGAAAGCATTCTGGCTTGTTGCCGGAAACATGGTGGTTGTGCAAAGGAATATCTCGTTAAGTGGAAAGGTTACCCGACCTGTGAATCAACCTGGGAACCTCTTAGTAATCTTACACATGCTCGTGAGCTTGTCACGGAGTATGAGCATCGTAATAAAGATTAGTTTTTGTAAATCTTGTAATCAATCTTGCAAATTAATAAAGTAATATATTTCTATAAATCAAAATGTCATTTCTCTCGTTCATTCGTACTTGGGTCAGTTTTGGCAGGCTGACTTCGGCACTTCGGTGCATGGGTCCAATCCATAACCATGGGGATAACTATTATAGACTGATCACAAGTCCCCGCCTCTCTCTCAGTGACTCACTTTTGAAAAGGGGCGTGGTCGTGTAAACAACTTAATTTGCCAGTTTATAATAGTTGTCTAAATCTTCCCGACGGGGTTGATTTCTTGCTCAGGGGATGTGAGCCTCTAGCCTTCTCCCTATGTCCCTGCGGGCAGGGATATATCATTCCTTTGTAAGCCGAGTGGTACTCGGAGCAGCAAGGGGGGCTAACTCTGTTAGTCCTTTCCTTGTCGGTGACGGCCGGAGGGTGTCTGAGTCTTAACGTCTTTGGACGTAGAGGAGAGGTCGTTCCATAACTCATTTAAGTCAGTATGTTTCCCACATAGTGTGCTTTCCGTTAAATTTCGGAGTTGTTTCCTTGACGGTTTGCTAAACTCGGGTATACATCGACGAGGACGTCGATCTTCCTCAAGGGGGGGAGAGTGTCGCGAATGTGACTTCGGGTATCGAAAGATACTTGTCGGCCAGTCCTTACGGGCACTCTTTCCTTACTGCCACGACGGCAGGAGGTCGGTACTGCTGGTCCCTTTTATGGTCTCCACTCAAGCTAGTTGAGAAACTGGTCATCGCATGTGCACTTGACCAGATGAGCATAAGGATGGAATTCCTACATGCTATTAGTCAAGCATACTTGACCTGGTTAGAGAAACTCATTCGTTGACTTGCACTTGCTAGTGTTGGGAACCCCCGCGATATTGAGACTAGTCCCTCAATATTCGCTAGATGATAGCTTACCGTGTCTGCCAAACACCCTCGCTATCATACCCTTTGTGTTGGTCTCATTTCGGTCCCAAATGCTATTTATAAAAAGTGTCTAGATTAGCTCATTTGGCATATCTACGGAATGTAGAGATCGGCCTGAACACAATGGTGTTCGTTCCGTGTCCAAATTCGCAATCTAAGGACATTCCATATTTAGTAAGTTTCGGACTTGTCCCAGAGACTAACTCCTGGTACTAAGGGAGGCTTGGGGTGAAAGCCCAAAGCGTATGTCCCTCAAGGGGGGGGGGGGGGGGGGGGGCTGTGGGGGGTTCCAAATGTATAGTAGGGATAGTGGTTGGAATGCATGTCCAACCACCTGAGACATTAGTTTGGCTCCCGCTGGGCTGTGTCGCTCCTTGTTCTGCATCTGGCTTGGGTTTAAGCCCAAGCTCCACGCTGCTCTAGTCGGTGGAGTACCCTCCTTCTCGCGTTAGGCCACCGGTATGCCAAAATTGTGCCAGACTCCGTTTGACACCATTTTGCGTGCAGGTGCTGGATACGGGGAGCTGGTGCTCGTGGGATTGTACCGGACCCTCGTTTCGTAGCGCAATGGGCTTGGAGTTCGGCTCCAAATTCAGGTGTGCTACAGTGGTGGACCGATTTTCAAAGATGGCACATTTCATACCCACCACAACGAAAGTGGATGCGGAAGGTGTGGCGAAGCTGTTCTTTGAACAAGTGGTTCGAGTGCGGGGAAGGCCGGAAGAGATTATCTTAGATCGAGATAAGATCTTCACCAGTAGGTTCTGGAGGACACTCCTAGAACAGTATTGCACCAAATTGAAATTCAGCACAGCCTATCACCCACAGACAGGTAATGGGTATTAAGTCAAGATTGATGGCACTAACACTTCTTGACAGACGGACAAATGGAAAGGGTGAATAGGCAGCTGGAGGATTATTTGCGATGCTATGTCTCGGGAGACCAGACCGACTGGGTAAGTCATTTGGGACTTGCGGAAATGTGTTACAACAACTCACCACATTCGAGCATCGGGGTGAGTCCATGGGAAGTCATCAATGGGCAAGCTATTGAAGGTCCTGTGGAACTCGGCGTGGCCGAGTATCATGGAGAGTTACCCGCAGTGGAGGCATTCACGGCGGAAAGACTCAACATTTGGAATCTAGTGAGGGATTCCTAACGGGCTCAACAAAGGCAAACTAAGTACGTGAACCAAAAGCGTCGGGATGTGGAGTTCCAAGCTGGGGAGAAGGTGTGGCTGAACACCAAGAACCTTAGGCTACCAAGTGGGATCAGCCGGAAGTTGACCCAAAGGTAAAAATGCATGTATTCCTATAAATGAATTGATCTTGAGTTCCTTAAGCAGATTCGCGGGGCCTTACGAGATTGAGGCTCGAATCGGTAAAGTGGCTTACCATCTCCGACTTCCTCGAGAGATGGGGAAGATGCATCCCGTGTTCCACGTGAACTTACTCAAGCCGTATTTTGAGGATCCGCTTCGCAAGGACCAAGTAAGACCTTTACCTGAGGTTATCCAAGGGGAGGAGGAATACGAAGTCGAGGCCATCCTCAATGCGCGCAAGAGCAAGCGACAAGGACGCGAGGTGAGAGAGTTCCATGTGAAGTGGAAAGGATTTCCACACTGCGAAGCAACAGGGAACCGGAGGAGAACCTAACGAACGCGCGAGATCTAGTGGAGGAATTTTTGCATGGCAGAACTCTATGTACTTATGCAAAGTTCAATTAAAAGTATCAATTTGAGAAGTTGAGCAATGGCATATGTTGGGACCCGAAGGCGCGCCGAAGGTAAGCTAATTAGCATGGGTTAGCTAGGTCGACCAAGCGTAGGGAGCTACGCCCGACTCCCTGCGGGGATATCGAATCCGTAGACGTATTCTACGGAGGTTGGGTTCGAGTCCCAACCCCCTAGTAAAGCAAGGCTGGGTTCAAGTCCCGACCCCATACTAGGGCATGGTGAGGTGAGGAGTATAGAGACACCTATATTCCGTTGTCATGGGCTCTTGGCCGGGGAGGCTAACTTAGGCACACCGCTAAGTGGGGGGATGCCCCCGGAGACATGGTCAACAAGTTGTAGGATAAAACGAGATGTTCGATGTGGGCATCGAACTTCTTCTATGGGTGGTGGAGTTGTAAGGAACCAACTCGCCGAGGTGTCGTAGGCTAAAGGAACCCCGAAAGCATGACCAAAATGACAAAGAGTTCATCGGATGGGACCAAGTCGAAGATCGAGTCCAAGACCGACTCTAGGATCGAGTTCGAGATAGAGTCCGGAATCGAGTCCGAGACCGAATCGGGGACCGAGTTCGAGTCCGAGTTCGAGACCGAGTTCGAGACGGAGTCCGAGATCCGAAATCGGGTCCGAGGTCGAGTCCGAGGTCGGGTCCGAGATCGGGTCCGAGATCGAGTCCGAGATCGAGTCCGAGACCGAATCCGAAGTCAGATCTGAAATTGGGTCCGAGATCGAGCCAGAGACTAAGTCCAAATACTAATACGGGTCAAGGGGTGAAAGCCCAAAGTGTGCGTCTCCCAGGGGGGGGGGGGTTGCAGAGGGTTCCAAAAGTATAGTAGGGATAGTGAGGTCCAAGAACCAGTTTTGAAGGGACTCTCCAATTAGGCTTCCAAACCGACTTGAGGTTGAGACTGGGACCGAGGGGCCTTGGGTGGAAGTGAGCATGGACTTGGCTGGTGCCAGAGGGGCCATCCAAGGAAGTGCTCAAGAGCAACTCCCACTCCTGAAAGGGAAACCGATTGCGGTGCTCCCAGCTCATGTGGAGTGGTGCCCCACTTGAGTACCATACGGCTCATTGGTCCTCGCCCTTCCTAGGGGCTTGGGCCTTCCTTCGGGATGGAAGTGGGGGGGTAGAGGTACCCATACCGGGCCGCTAGGCCACGGTGTTTCGCCCCGGCGTCCCGAAGCAAGTGTTGCACTCAAGACTTGGGATTTAGAGGGTCCCATGATCAAGTCTTGTGGTACCAAGGAATGTTAGGAACCTGGAAGCTTGGTGTGCTTGGTTGCTTGTGCTTGCGGGGAGTGTAGCCGAACCTTAAGTCCAGTCTAACCCGGGGAGGGGGATTGGGAGTGATTTGGGAATCCGTGGAAGGATGGCTAACACTCCGTTGCTCGTGCAGTGAGTAGCTGAAACCAAGTAGGAGTTGGTACCATAGGCAAGAACCTTGGCAAGGGAACTTAGCAAAAGCCAAGACAGTGTTGGACGGATAGTCGAGGTAAGCTGGTAAATTGGAAAGGAAAAATTTGTGGCTTACAATCATGACCATATAGAAGTTTATATGGTAAAGCACTAATAGCACCTTTATAAAATCCATATACTAAAGAGATGACAAATAACCATCCCAATTCGAATGTTAAAAGTTCATGTACTTCACGATTATCCCTTTAAAGATTCGAATAAACCATTCTACCAAACTATATGATTGTCGATGATAAGCACTCGTGAAAGTGTGGCATATCCCCAACCAAGATGTTAAGATGTGAAATGACTCAGCCATAAATGCAAGACTATTATCTGAAAGAATTCGCTCTAGATAATAATGTTAGAACACCACTTGATTGAGGAGGAAGTATCTAATAACAATTGCAGGCGAACTAACAACTTCTACCAAGTCAAGTAATTAGAATAATAATGACATACTCATTGCCAGTAGTTGAATGTGGAAAAGGCCCCATCAAATCAAATGCTTGTACTTCCGTAGCACAAAAAGGAGTATTACAAGCTTGACACTAAACGTATAACATCACGTCATATCTTCAGTTAATAGAAAAACCTAGTAGCTTCTCAATCATATGATGATGTCCCATATTCCTACATATCATGATAGGTATGGAGAAAGTATAAAATAAAAATTGAAGGCACCACCACTCATAAATGATCATTG